TCCCTGGAAAAGGCAGATTTTTAGAGTATTTAAAGAGCACACAAACTGAAGTTACAAAACTGTCAAGTGACTTATGTAGATGACAACATCATAAATGATGCAGACGTTCTATAAACTCGGTTGTGTCAACTCTCCTCTAGCTTTAACTGTCAACATGCAGACTGCAACAGATTTTGAAAAGCCCACTAATTAAAATTTTGTCTAAAAAGACGGGAAGTAACGAATAATCTCAAAACTAAGGTATTGTGCATCTCACTTGTTCAACAAAAATGAAAAACCCCACCTCTTCCCTCCCAAGCCTTAATTTAAATAACACCGGAAGGACTGAAATAGCAGGAAGATCTAGGCCTGTTTACTCAGCACAAAACTCCAGTCAAGCAGTGGCATCCCCCACCCGCAGCTGAGTGTCCCAAAGGGGTAAGAACTGCGAGCCACCCGCCCCAGGGATGGCAGGGTTACACCTGCCACAGCAAAGCCACGTAACCTGCATGGCAGCTCGACGCACACCCCCTGTGTGGCACTGCCTCTGGCCCAGGGTGAAGCCTGACCTCACGGTCTGACATGCAACAAGCAGGATCCCAGGGGTGGATGTCAAGAGGGTCAGTAGCCACCACACAGAAGAGCGTTGGGTTGCACCCTTACAATCTTTACTTCGCACCAAGTTTCCTCAGGGGACAAGAGGAGACAACAGACTTCCTCTCAAGAACGATCTCTGGGTGCTCAAAGACATCTAGAAGCCTGGGATTTGTTTTGGTTGAATGACAAGAAAATACAGCGCGAATTGAAAGCCATTTCCAACCACCACTGTGCAGCACCGCCCTCCTTGGATCGCAGCCCCGTCACTGAAAAGCACGGGCTGTGCAGTCCTACGGTTTGAAGCCTGTGCACTAGCACAGAGCGCCGTTGGAAAGAAGTAGTTCTGACACACCAGCCGTCAACTGTTCATTTTCCCCTAACTACCCTCAGAGAGTAGAAAGCATATGAATGGAACAGACCTTTTTAAGAGTCCTGTGTAGGCTGTTTTACACATACATATGTTTGTATATCTACTGTACACGATACACAGGTGTAGATGCTGTTTATATATCTAGATTATATGTCATGTTCTGCAGCTAGGATACAGCTCTGCATCTAGATGCATAGAGACATTGGCAGGAACTTTCCCAGAGTAGCCTGCATCTTGAAGTGGTTCTGTCTCCTGTCAAATTTCTTCAGGCTGCAGAAAATCCCAAGACAAAGCCAGAGCTGTGGACTTCTAATTAAACAAACTTTATACTAAGTTCGCTAATTGCACAGTTTCACTGTTTTCCGATTTTCTCACAGTGGCCTTCATATGAAGACAACGAGAAAGCAGCTCTTCCACAATAAAAGAATCCCAACATAAGCTTCGTAACGCTGCCAATCATGCCATGGTCATTTAAGCCTTCTCCCAGCCTAACACACGGACTATATAATCCAAGTGAAACTGGGAGGTCTTTTCCCCTGTATAAAAATCTATGCTTTTAGTTCTCTCCACATCAAGCCCCTGTGGTTCTATTCCCAATCTTCACAGAAAAGTATTAGGAAAGTACTTTGTCCTTTTAAATGTAACCGACAGGAGTAATAACGCTGCCGGGGCTGTCGTCAGCCTTCTGCCAGCTCATCCCTGCCGGCACACGCGCAGCGGCTTGGGAACCTGCAGGCACAAGAGGTTTCTTACGGGAGAAGTTCTGTGGCTCAGGTTTCTCCAGCTTCCACTCTGTCTAATAAACACGGAAGACAGCACGCATATCCAGACGATATAAACAGATCAAGAACTACTGCGAGGGTCCAACCGAAAACCTGGCTAAATGGCACCGTTGACCTCGTTACTGTCCAGCTTCCTGGAGGCGTCACTCGGGGAAAACTGCCATGCGGTAACTTCACTCTCCCTGCTGCCGTGCCGCATGCCAACCCCCATCGCAGCCGAGCTGCACGCTACGCGCTTGCGGTACATCACACCGCAGAAAAGAAGCGGTTAAACAACAAGTCAGTTTGTGCCCAGACCAACTGACCCACTTGGAAAAGACTTTCGGGAACGTTAACTGCAGGCCAAAAACTCTTAGAATCATAGATTCATAGAATGGTTAGGGGTGGAAGGGACCTTAAAGCTCATCCAGTTCCAACCCTCCTGCCATGGGCAGGGACACCTTCCACTAGACCAGGTTGCTCCAAGCCTCATCCAGCCTGGCCTTGAACCCTTCCAGGGATGGGGCATCCACAGCTTCTCTGGGCAACCTGTTCCAGGGCCTCACCACCCTCTCCGGGAAGAATTTCTTCCTGATATCTAATCTAACCCTCCCTGATTTCAATTTGTACCCGTTACCCCTTGTCCTGTCACTACAGGCTCTTGTAAAAAGTCCTCTCCCAGCACCCTTGTAGGCCCCCTTCAGATACTGGAAAGCTGCAATGAGATCTCCTTGGATCCTCCTCTTCTCCAGGCTGAACAAGCCCAATTCTTGCAGCCTTTCATCATAGGAGAGGTGCTCCAGCCCTCTGATCATCTTCGTGGCCTCCTCTGGACTCGCTCCAAGTGGTCAATATCCTTCAAAACTCTTCTTGCCTTCCCCTGGTAAACTGCTGGTGCAGTAACAGAGATGGGCTCCTCTCCTGAGCAGTTCCTTGTTGAGCTCCCCACATGACCAGGGGTGCTAACGAAACGCCACTGTGCTCTCATCAGCCTTCCACAAAATCCACCTCTTTGGACTTCACAAAGAACATTTCTAGAAAAATCACCTTACACATAATCAAACGCGGGTCGGTCTCAACTCCGTATTACCTGTGAATTATTCCTTTCCCATGCAAGTACTCCAGGGCTGATACAATTTCAGCAGTATAAAATCTGGTACAGGTCTCATCAAACGAGCCAATTTTGCGTATGTACTTCAGCAGCTCTCCATTTTTGGCATAGCTAAGCCCAAAATCTGAACGTAAGCATAGTTAAGGTCTATCACAAACCCACTCCAGAACAAAGATCTCCACATCTCATCTCAAAGACATGAATACTACTAAAAATACATGAGCAGTGGGGAAGGAGTTGTTTAATTCGAAGCCATACCTGGTAGCACCCCAACCCCATTTCTTCAACTTATTAATAAACCTGGGGCACAGGTCCCAAATTCTCAACGTAGTAAAGAATACGTAAAGGGATAACTTTTTTAAATTCAGTCACCTGAGTAACTCAAAGCAGACACAATTGCTCTCAGAACAGCACTCAACCCAAGTTTAATGCTGCTGCACCATCTGGCAAGTTCCAAAGTCGGCCCAGTGTCCAGTGGGCAAAGGTTTACATTACAGAAGAGAGGCCCTGGAAGCTCTGTTGGTGCGTGTGCGTGCGCGCACCCCACAGCGGCCTCTGAAAACCACAGCTACTAACTGACCCACCCTTTACCCTCGGCACTGCTAATGCACAAAGCTTGGGAGGGAATTCACACGACTCCCTTTGCTGCACAGGGCGCAAGACCCGCCGACTGCAAACCAAAGCGCTTTCAAGAGACGCTGCGCTCCGCGGTCACTGCTGGAGAGACCCTGAGGAACAGGGGCACCGACAGGGCTGCAGCGCTCTCGTTCCCATCACTCTAAGCTCTTACAGAAGAGATTTAACAGGTCTAACTGTTCAAACCCAAAAGGAGCAGTCAGCACTGCTGGCTAGCCCTATTTTAAACATAGAAATGTGGTGCTTCACCGTAGGTACCAGAAACGTAACGTTTCCAAGACCTCTCATACACCCCCATGTTTAGCTGCAAAGCCAGCTCGCTGCCCGTCGCCCTTCGGCGGGTGCCACACGGACACCAGTGCCTGCTGCTTCAGCCACCTCCCGTCCTGCAAGTCACCCCCTCTGCACGTTGAGGCTGCACACTCATTTTATTTGCTTAATTCCCACTAAAAGCATGGCTGCAGCAAGTGCATGGCAAACATCAGCGTGTTTTAAATACCTCACCTAATTTTCATCATTCCTGTTAGACAGGAAGCGAAACTGGGGCTTGTTACAGAGCTGTTACAGCAGGCTCCCAAGTGCAAAGGATACACAGCTTTTCGTCATCCTGAAAGGTGAAGTAGAGTTTCACAAAAAAAGGGTGATCCAGGCGGGACATCACATCTCTCTCCCGTGTCACATACGGCACCTTGTTTTCTTTTATGATATGACGTTTTTCTAGAATTTTAACTTAATAGGAAAAAAAAAAAAGAGTGAAAATGCAGGAGGTACAACCAAAGAAGTGCATTTAACTCACCTGGTTTGGGGTGGGGTTTTCAGTTAGATATAATTATCACAAACCCCCCAAATTCTGTCTTTTGACCAGGTGTTTGTAACGGGAGCACAGTGCCCCTTCCACATGAAGGTTTCAAAAACTAACACCCATACTCACTGGCATATTCTCTAGAACTCGCCAACTCCCGAGCCAAGACAACCTGTTGCCAAAGGAGAGAAAATACACTGTAACCATCGTAAAAAACATTCCCCAAATCTGACTTTCCAAGAGGCACCCAGAACCCCGAGAGCCCAGAGCGAGCTATCCCAGCTGCACCCAAAGCGCTCTAGCGTGCGACCGCGCGCTCTTCAGCAGGGCCCCTGCAGACCCCAGCCTGTGCACCCGTGCAGTTCCGCAGGTGAGCACTGAGCTACCTGCTGGGTCAGGACTGTGGACACTGCCGTGCCGTCCCACTAAACTGTCACATCCTCTTAAAGGGCAAAACGCAACAAGTGCACTGAGGAACACTTAACAGAAAATACTGTGACAGATTTTTAACATAAATGGAGAAGAATCAAAGAGCAATGTTATCACCTGAAAGATCAAAAGAAAGAAGTGCAACAGAGCTTTCAACTCTTTACAGTTTGTTAGGAAAAAGACTTAAAGAAAGGGAATGAGAGATTTCCAGTTAGTAGAAGTACGGAATAAAGTTTCAGACAAGCAGTTCTAAAGAGAAAACTTTTGGAGGAACACAAGTTAAAGCTCGGCTTCAAGAAAGAACTTCTAGAAAAGGCAACATTTCAGACAATCTGAAAAGTCCTCTTGCATGAATCCGAGCAATAACCTATTACCAGGTGAACTTCTTGCCAGGTTTCATCAATCAAGTCTCTCATTAAAGCCACTGAAAGCAGGTCACTTTAAAAGTCGGTTGTTAAATAAATACCCTGATATACAGCGCTAACTTTCTGCACTTAGAAAATACTTTTATATCTTCATAAAACAATTCAGTGCCATCAGCAAAACAAAAATCCAACAGGCAATCTTAGAATCACAGAAGGGTTTGGGTGGGAAGGGACCTTAAAGCCCACTCAGTCCCACCCCCTGCCATGGGCAGGGACAACTTCCACTAGACCAGGTTGCTCCAAGCCTCATCCAGCCTGGCCTTGGCCACTTCCAGGGATGGGGCATCCACAGCTTCTCTGGGCAACCTGTCCCAGTGCTCCCCACCCTCTGCGGGAAGAATTCCTTTCTGATGTCCCATCTCCATCTCCCTCTTTCCATTTAAACCCGTTGCCCCTTGTCCTGTCACTCCCTGCCCTTGTAAGGGCAACAGACCAGAACTGCCAAGGTTGACAGAGGAGGTGGCAGGCAGGAAGAACTCACTCCACCTCACGCTTTCTCTGGCACCCGCCGACACCCAGATGATTACAGTGCCTAAAATTCTGCTTGTAAAACTCGAAAGAATAAGACTGTGTAGGGATTAACATTTTCATGGTATTCTGTCCCTCTCCTGCTGCCCACCCAAATGCACTTGCCACTGAGACTTGGGACCAAAAAAACTGTCCACAGTGAAAGGCAGAACGTGAGAACAGAAGTTTATTCAGAGTCTGGGCGAGGCCCTGTGAATTTCTCTATTTACAAGGAATGTGGCGCTAGCTTTGAGACCACAAGCAGAAATTCAGAGCGTCTCGCTGAAGCAGAGTGTTCTGGTACACCCAAGAGGCAACATCTCTGCTGTTTCCTTAGGGAAACCTGCAAGTCGCAAACTACGTATCTAAGTGCAAATTACTCTTGATGACTACTAGCAGCCTGTAGCCTCAACACCACAGTAGACGACCTAGGAAGAACCAGAAAACCCCAGCATTTAGCGATCAACAACCAAAAGGTATATACAACAAGTGACACGTGAAAAAGATGTGAAAAAGGTACAGAAGTATTACTTGTCTTTCAGTGGGGCAACTACAGAAGCATCAAATGAAAGTATTAATTGCTTTATGGGTTCTTTAATATAACACTTAAGTAACTCATTCCTGTGTGTTGCCATGGATGTGAAAGATTAAAACAATCCATTTAAGGCTACTGAATACAAAGATAATGGTGGCTTATGAAGTCCCTGAAGGTCATGGCACTAGAGGCTGAAAAAGAATACTGGGAGGTGTCACAGTTCTTACTGTCTTCCCCAAGTACGTGGCTGTAGCTCCTGGCACAGAGAGGACAACGCGTAGACGTTCTTACTGTGACCAACTCCTAGCCCAGTTCCAATCCTTCATATCGTAACATTAACATGACCCCTTATGCTATCCAACTTACACTTCCAAGCAATGTCTCTTAAAAATCTAAAGCACCAAGTCATCAGGACACAATGGAACTTCTAAGTTTAAAAGGTACTTGAAAAATCAGCACCCATCTTCAGTGCAACACTTTGTTTTAATCGTTAAACTTATACCCGCTACATCCTGCTCCTTTACTCTTCAAGCTGTTCTCTCCAGACTTCAATCTCAGCAATATTACCTGCACAACAGATTTTACCCAAGATATTTGGCACTTCTAATAAGAAGTAAAATTACCGTTGAAAAAGATCCTTCACCCAGAATTTTCCCAAATTTGAAGTCATCAGGGCGTTTCTTTCGAGGCTGCGGAGGCTGCTGTCCTGTATGTTGCTGCAAGGAGTTTGAGCTAGACCTTGATTCGGCTGCAGTGCCTTCCATGTTAGATCCCTGTCGGCTGCCACAGGCGGAAATGACAGATGGAGTGCTGGAATCTGCCTGGTTCCTCACCATCGACGGGGACGAGCACGAGCATAACACCACGCTAGACTGGATTGGAACTGCATCATACTGAAAAGAGAGACGAAAATGTTACCCCACACCTTCAAACACATCTGCGCTCCATCGCCATGCAAGCACCACATACATTCTCCTTTGGAAGGGTCATCATTACAGTGTCTTTAGGAAGGAACATCAGGGTTTATTTGCAAGTGGCAGCTCTTAATCGGTTAAGCAACTCCGTTTAGGTCGTACTGTGCAGAGCTAGCTGTAAGTCGAAAGTCAAGTGCTTTTCTTCAGACCTGAAAATGCAAATGCTCCTTAACATCCTACCCCACAGTATATTCTCCTATGGTTAACATGTCCTTTATTTTGTGCTTACAGGACCCACCATCCAATCTTAACAAGCAGTAGTGTTCCTGAGGGATTACCTAGTTACACAATGGGCACTCGCATTCACAAGTGGCCAAGTTACAGCGAACCGTAAATGAACAAGTAAGGCATGAAAATGCCAACGGACACAAGGGATACATTCCCCCAGTTTTACGTGGGACCTCACTTTCTCCACTACTATTTCTCTTTAGCACACATCGGGAAGGATGGAGGGAAAAAACAACAACATACAAAAGGCAGATCAGCCAGAGGGTTCAATAACCAGCTGCACCTACCACTAATGCTCTGCTCCACAGCCTTTTAAAACAAGGGTGATGGCACTAATGCAATGGTGCATGTGGCCAGAGACATCCTGATCCCAATGCTGAGCACCAGCTATAGCCCAGAAAACCGCAAGTACAAGAGGGTCCACTCCAAACACCCATCCTTGTCATACACAAGCAAATCGTCATTTGGTGGCCTTTCATCAGCTCTGCCCAAGCAAGACCAAGGAACCCTGCCAAGCTGCTTTCCCTCCCGCTGGTAATGCCCCTCCAGCAGTCTGCCAGGGCCTGCTTCGAATGCGCCCATAAAAGTGGCAAGAAGACAGGAAAAAGTGGCAGACAACAGGAAAGCTCTCCTGAACTACTTCTGACAATAAAAACCGAAACGGTATGCAAACAAGGGGAATATTTAAAATTAACACCATGTCTGAATATTACTTTTTAATCTCAGTATTCTAACGGCACAATGAAATTAGGACTTCATGAAAATCCAGTCTCAAGAGAGATGCACGCTACAGCCCTGACCTAGTCTGTAACATCCCTCGTGTTGACACTCAAATACACGTTACTTCTGACCAAAAGAACGAGCTCAAGAATTTCTGTTTGATTCAGAACATTTTTCTGCATTTCTAGCAGGACCTGCGTTAGAGAGGAGCTGCATATGGAGCGAAGCACCCAAACTAGCACAGACTCACCCGGCCATGCCCTACACAGCAGGGAGAAGTGTCTCTCGTTTACTGCTAAGCTGCTTTGGAGAAGAAGGCACAGACCAGAAACACGCTGTACACACACGTTACAGACCCAGGAGGCACGAACATGTTCCTGCGCCTGCAAACACGCCGTCTAAACCCAGACGAACGTAGCAAGGGCGAAGGGAACACAGCTAAGACTGCCTTCTCCACTCTGACACAAATTCCCATGATTGAAAACGAACTCTTGCTAAGCAACGGCTCTAACCAGGATCTTCCAGGAAGCATAAGGGAAGATTCCCTTTCAATCCCAAGCGCAGCCTTCTCGCTCCTTGGCGCTTTTTCCAAGGGCAGTGACTGCATCCCAGCGCAGCCGGTCAGGAACAGGCAACCGCCCCCCGTTTTGTGACTGGGGACTGCAGGGGACTCTGCCTGCAGCTGGGGCTGTTTGGTCCAGGGTGCACAGCTTTCCTGCAGTGGGGCGAGGCTGGGGCAGGACCCAAGTCAGAGGGGATATTCTGCTTTGGGAGGAGTTCCCTGACTCCCCAGGGAGCAGCAGAGCCTCTCCCCCAGCCAGTCTGCCCTTGGAAGGCGTAACGATGCCCACCGTAGGTCACAGGTCCCTTTACGCCTTCTGTACAGATACTGTAGCTGACACCTTCCCCGGACTATTGTCCCTCACACTCTCAGAGCCCCGCTGGATCATCATTCCTTCGGACAGCTACCCAGACACCAGCCTGGACAAACACATGCAGCAGCCAGTGTTGGAGCCAGATCGTACTCTCTCCTCTCTCCAGCGCAGCAAGGCTGGCACCAGCATCACGGCCCAACAGCTGAGGCGATGCCAATCCAAGAAACAACCCATTAATAAAAATAAAGTGAATAAACACACGCACACAGACTAAACATTAGGATTTAATGATGAACTGGCTCCAGTCAGGCTATTCTAGAGCAACAGGTACATAAAGTAGCAGCATCGTGAGGGATGTGATCAGATTCTGCAGCTAGCAAGATCACCCTGAAATAAAACAACCGCACACGAAAAACACCCACCCCAAAAGCATCAGAGAGCCCTGAGAGAAAGGCGGTAAAAAGGTGTTGGATGTCATGTGTTTCCTTGTACAGTATCTGAAACCAAGTCACAATAGATATCAAGTATAGAAAGGTCATAGAATCACAGAACTGTTTGGGCTGGAGGGACCTTAAAGATCATCTCGTTCCAAGCCCCTGCTGTGGGCAGGGACACCTTCCACCAGACCAGGTTGCTCCAAGCCTCATCCAGCCTGGCCTTGGACACTT